TTTAAACCCCTTTTTCCGTGGCCTGCCCTCAATAGATGCCTGATTCTGTTCAAAGGCGTCAGCTAAAAGGGCCAGCTCATCCCCAGACTTTACATCTTTGTCCCACAGACACTGCTTCACATCCACCTGACACACACCTAGGAAATGCTCTTGAGCAACAAGATCCAGCATTCCCTCAAACCTGCCACCTCTTTACCCCTCACCCGTTTTCCCAACAAATCTTTCATTTTGTTTACATACTCCCCATTACTGATACCAATATGCTTAAGATTCCTAAATTTAACTTGATATGATTAACGGGTAAACTGAAAACTTCGCAAAACAGTATCTTTAAATTTACAACAGTCTAAAGCATCTTCAGTAGGCATTCCATTGAATACGTTTCGAGCTTTACCAGTTAATTTCGCAATCAGGGTAGGAACTCTCTCATCATCAGGGATTTCATGTATTACACACAGCCTTTCGATGGTGGTCAGATATTCAGCAACAACATCCTCTTCACTGTATGCAGGACATAAGTTGTGCCCGCAAGGGCTAGGGGGGAAGATACCAGTGAAAGGAGGACACTCAGGCCTAAGAATAGTAAACTATGCTTTATTGAAGGAAGGAAGAACTTACGCTCCAATCTGCGCGGAGAGCCCCTAGGATGCGCAGAGGGGCTGCAGGGGACTCTGGCTGTTCGGGACAGCTGACCAGGCAGGACTCCGCCGGGGGGGAGTCCTCTGCAGCGCTATATTCTCTGCTCTTATCTCAGGGCTACATGGGGTCAACAGCTGGCTACATTCTTATATGTACGATTTATGCTTATTACATAAACTGACTCGTTTACAGGCAAAAATATGCTGAGCTATGCTACAATGTCTTTTGGCAGGATCTGTCGGACAAAGTTCATTGAAACTGCCTGCATCCTCCGCTTACATCCAGTCACATACTCAGTCCACCACTTAGCTCCTCGCCAATCTTCCGCAACCTTGCCCCTACATAAGTGTTCCCATTTGTGGATTTTTGCAGTGATGGGAGTCATTGGGGTCAGGGAGCTCTGGTTCTGCTTGTCTAGCAGGTCCAGTTGGTGTTTTCACTCTCTCTCTTTCTCTTTCTTCCCGCTCTCTTACTCTTTCTTCATGCTCTTTTTCTTCCATGGCTCTTCTGTGTGCAGCCTCCTCTTCTTTGAGCCTCATTTCTGTCTGCCACATTTGAAACTCGCGGTCCTTTGTGTTCTCTTCTGCTTCCAGTCTGGCCAGCTCTAGTTTTGTAGCTGCCTCACTGGTAGTCATTTTTCTGCTTTCTTATGCTTATTTCCCTCACCCGAAATACACAAACAGAAAATAACAAAACTGTGACCTCCTCCTGACTGTTCTTAGCCACTGCACTTAAGACTCACTTACAATCACAAATATCAGTGCTTAAAGTGTGAACTTCACTTGGAGTAACAAGCCGTACATATACCCTGCTCACTGCGCCACTGTGACGTTCCCCTCTGGTGTTATCTGGACCGGTGATCTGCTAGGCCACTCCAATCATTGACTCTGGGAGCCAGCCTTACCATGCACTGCTGTGAGAACCTCCACTCCTGGGCTGTTCACGCATAGCCTCTGGCTTGTAAGCTGCTCCCAGCTACTTGCAAGCGAATGACACTAGCCAATATCTCCAGTCCCAGACACAACCCTAGGAACCTCCATCTTGCAGTGTCCAGTTATGCCCACTGGATGCTGCAAGCTTATATGAGTTAATCAATTTAACAAAGAAATTGATATGTACCAGGCTTGTTGTCCCAAGGGGAACCGCTGATACACTTCAAACCAAATGCCCTGCTTCAGGTAGAATAAACAAACACATTTATTAACTATAAAGATAGATTTTAAGTGATTATAAGTCAAAGCACAACAAGTCAGATTTGGTCAACTGAAATAAAAGCAAAACGCATTCTAAGCTGATGGTAACACTTTCAGTGCCCTTACAAACTCCGATGCTTCCCACCACAGGCTGGCTGGTTGCTCTTAGAATCATAGAATCATAGAATATCAGGGTTGGAAGGGACCTTAGGAGGTCATCTAGTCCAACCCCCTGCTCAAAGCAGGACCAATCCCCAACTAAATCATCCCAGCCACGGCTTTGTCAAGCCTGACCTTAAAAACCTCAAAGGAAGGAGATTCCACCACCTCCCTAGGTAACCCAGTCCAGTGCTTCACCACCCTCCTAGTGAAAAAGTTTTTCCTAATATCCAACCTAAACCTCCACCACTGCAACTTGAGACAATTGCTTCTTGTTCTGTCATGTGCTACCACTGAGAACAGCCTAGATCCATCCTCTTTGGAACCCCCTTTCAGGTAGTTGAAAGCAGCTATCAAATCCCCCCTCATTCTTCTCTTCTGCAGACTAAATAATCCCAGTTCCCTCAGCCTCTCCTCTTAAATCATGTGTTCCAGTCCCCTAATCATTTTTGTTGCCCTCCGCTGGACGCTTTACAATTTTTTCACATCCTTCTTGTAGTGTGGGGCCCAAAACTGGACACAGTACTCCAGATGAGGCCTCACCAATGTCGAATAGAGGGGAACAATCACATCCCTCAATCTGCTGGCAATGCCCCTATTTATACCGCTCAAAATGCCATTGGCCTTCTTGGCAACAAGGGCACACTGTTGACTCCTATCCAGCTTCTCGTCCACTGTAACCCCTAGGTCCTTTTCTGCAGAAGTGCTGCCGAGCCATTCGGTCCCTAGTCTGTAGCGGTGCATGGGATTCTTCCGTTCCTAAGTGCAGGACTCTGCACTTGTCCTTGTTGAACCTCATCAGATTTCTTTTGGCCCAATCCTCTAATTTGTCTCAGTCCCTTTGGCCCCTATCCTTACCCTCCAGTGTATCTACCACTCCTCCCAGTTTATTGTCATCTGCAAACTTGCTGAGGGCCAGTAAGTTAGAGCACTTTAAAATGTAAGTGTAGAGAAGTCCTAAGTAATGCTCACCTGACACTGAAGGGGGGGTGGGCAAAGCCAAGAGGGAAGAAAGGACCTGATAAAAGGGAGAGACATTTGCCATCCTCTCTCTCTCTTCCACCTACATCTACATCCCTTGCTAGTTGCAACTCCAATTCTCCCCTTTGATCAGCACTTCAGTCACTTGGTGTGGTATCTGTAGATGTAGGTGGAAGAGAGAGAGAGGATGCCAAATGTCTCTCCCTTTTATCAGGTCCTTTCTTCCCTCTTGGCTTTGCCCACCCCCGCCCCTTGAGTGTCAGGTGAGCATTACTTAGGACTTGTCTACACTTACATTTTATAGTGCTCTAACTTGCTGGCTCAGGGGTGTGAAAAATCACCCTGCCCGAGTGCAGCAAGTTGGAACACTTTAAATTGCTAGTGTGGATAAGCTCTGAGTACTGGGAGCTATTCCCCTCTTGGAGGTGTATTACCAGGCACGCTGGGAGAGCTATCTCCCAGTGCTTGCGTGTGACCACACTCATACTTCAAAACACTGCTGTGGGAGCGCTCCCGTGACTGTGCTTTGAAGTTTCTAGTGTAGACGTAGCCTGAGTCTCTCCCAGCAAGGCTGAGCAATTCCCCTGGTGTGACCTTACGCAGGTGAGTCACTGCATTGTCACTCCCTTGCTGGACAATGGCTCTTGGTGGGTTGATTGACACCCTGCCCAGGTATTGGTGACTTTTCTTGCTGTTGCCCCTGGGGAGCTAATATCTGCCTGATTCCCCAATTTACAGCATGTTTTAGTGACTACCATACAACACAATCTCATAACTTCATATTGTGACAAAGTTCCTCCTCTACCTTGGTGGGTCTTGCACTTACTGGCGGATTTGCTCACCTTGGAGATTCTCAGCAGCCCTCAGCTTGGCTGTTTTCATGAACCCACAGTCCAGGTCGACTCCTCCTCTGTCTGACCAGGAGTTGGGAGGTTTGGGGGGAACCCGGGCCCGCCCTCTACTCCGGGTTCCAGCCCAGGGCCCTGTGGAATGCAGCTGTCTAGAGTGCCTCCTGGAACAGCTGTGCGACAGCTACGACTCCCTGGGCTACTTCCCCGTGGCCTCCTCCCAACACCTTCTTTATCCTCACCACAGGACCTTCCTCCTGGTGTCTGATAATGCTTGTACTCCTCAGTCCTCCAACAGTCCACGTTCTCACTCTCAGCTCCTAGTGCCTCTTGCTCCCAGCTCTTCACACACACACCACAAACTGAAGTGAGCTCCTTTTTAAACCCAGGTGCCCTGATTAGCCTGCCTTAATTGATTCTAGCAGCTTCTTGATTGGCTGCAGATGTTCTAATCAGCCTGTCTGTCTTGTCTCCAGAAGGTTCCTGATTGTTCTGGAACCTTCCCTGTTACCTTACCCAGGGAAAAGGGACCTACTTAACCTGGGGCTAATATATCTGCCTTCTATTACTCTCCTGTAGCCACCCGGCCCGACCCTGTCACAATATGCATGAATGACACACATCTATGGACAGAGAAATGACTTCCAGCAGATCATAACCTTTCCTCTGAGACCTTACAAGGCCTGCTTTATACATAAGATCATGATTATTTGAAAATGAGGACTATGGGGGTTACAGCACGCTCCCCCAAGATATAGAATGTCACAGTGGGTTATTGTGACATTTTATGAACTGGCACGTATCTTTTGCATTTGATCTTACAATTGCGGTTAAGTATTTAGGTCCATTAAGCACAATAGACAAGAGGGGCCTGTACTGATACTGTGTGTGGAGGGACGTCTCTGAAGGCCTTTGGGGAAGATCTTCTTCCTTGTGAGAGTTGGTTTTCCTGTCATGGACCTTTCTGCCCCTGCAGATACGGGAGAGGAATCTCTCCAAGGGAGCAGGAGCCGTGGGGGCTCTGGCTGCCTGGGAGCTGGGCAGGCTGCAGTGAGGAGCAAATGCAGAGACCCCTGCAGTCTCCTGTTCTTTTCCTGTATCTAGATCTTTGAATACAGCCTGGGGGACAAGCTGTGGGCTAGGGGTTTCTTACGCCGAACACTCTGTCCTCCTCATGCAGCCATCCCTGATGACCTCCGAAGCCCCATCAGGATTGAGAGAGAGGAGCAGCGCAACTTGCATTTCTTCCCCCCGGAGTATGGCCGTAAGTTCAGATCCCCTCTGCAGCAGAGGGCAGAGGGGTGGCATGGAGTAGGTATTGGGGAGGGGCATGGGACAGGTGTGTAGGGTGAAAAAGGGGACCATGGGGCAGATTCATGGCGGAGGGGGAAATGGGGAAGATGTGGGAGGCATGCTGATGCATGGGGCAGGGGTATGTGTGTGTGTGTGGCACAGGGCAGGTGTGTATTGGGGTGTTCCCAGCAGCGGTGGTGGCTTGGAACACCAGTCTGGTTTGTTTCTGGTTTGGTTTTGCAGATGTAGCTGATGGGACAGCTGTGGACATTTTCTCCTTTGGAATGTGCGCCCTGGAGGTAAGGAACCAGAAGACCCCCCCTACAGATCCCAGGAACTCCCCGAAGGGTTGTCTAGTCCTCCCTTGCTTGGGGCAGAGTGAATTCATTCCCCTGACCCTTCAGGAAGAAGGGGATCTCAGCTCAGTCCAGGAGCTCCCTGTCGAATGGAGTCTGGGTGCCCTCCACTTGCCCCTGTGAGGGCAGCTCTGTGCCCTCTCTTCTCTGATGAAGGCTCTGTGGACCTGCCATCCCCCATGGCTGTGATGGAGGCTCTGCTCCTGGGGTGACCATTTCCTGCTGTCCCGGCTACCCGCCCTGGGGAGCGGTGGGAGAACTGGCCCCACCCACTTATGACTCCCCTTCTCAGAGTGAGACGCCTCCCTCAGCCATCTCTGTCCAGACTGAGGCCCTGCCTGGCCCGAGGGCACGGTTGATACTGGTCTTACCCCTTAGGGCCTGTTACACACATGGGTGTGAGGTTTCCCTTGGCCAGTGGGAGAAGCTGCTCACCAGGGGGACTTGCACTGCTGCACCCACCAGGGGATGTACCCAGGGAGTGGCTGTCCACTGCAACCTGTACTGGTGAGCTCGGGGCCCCAGGGAGCAGGGCTGCAAGTGCCTCCCACTGCAGCCCCACCCCCTGACCCCGGCCCCACAAACCAGCTTCAGGAACAGATCGAGCGCGTCATCCTCCCCACAATGGGGTGGAGAGAGGACCCGGAGCCCTGACTGGAAATAGTATTAGGGGGTCGCTGTGTTAGTCTGTAGCCACAGAAACAACCAGGAGTCCGGTGGCACCGTTAAGACTAACAGATTTATTTGGGCATAAGCTTTCGTGGGTAAAACCCCACTTCTTCAGATGCATGGAGTGAAAATTACAGATGCAGGCACAGATATACTGACACATGAAGAGAAGGGAGTTATCCTACAAGTGGAGAACCAGTATTGACAGGGCCAATTCGGTCAGGGTGGATGTGGTCCACTCCCAATAATTGATGAGGAGGTGTCAATACCAAGAGAGGGAAAATTGTGTTTGTAGTGAGCCAGCCATGCCCAGTCCCTGGTCAAGCCCAAATTGATGGTGTTAAGTTTGCAAATGAATTGTAGCTCTGCAGTTTCTCTTTGAAGTCTGTTTTTGAAGTTTTTTTGTTGAAGGATGGCTACTTTTCAATCTGTTATTGAATGTCCAGGGAGATTGAAGTGTTCTCCGACTGGCTTTTGTATGTTACCGTTCCTGATGTCTGATTTGTCCCCATTTATTCTTTTGCATAGAGACTGTCCGGTTTGGCCAATGTACATGGCAGAGGGGCATTGCTGGCACATGATGGCATCTATCACATTAGTAGATGTGCAGGTGAATGAGCCCCTGCTGGTGTGGCTGATGTGGTTGGGTCCTCTGATGGTGTCACTAGAGTAGATATGGGGACAGAGTAGGCAACGGTGTTTGTTATAGGGATTTGTTCCTGGGTTAGTGTTTCTGTGGTGTGGTATTTGGTTGCTGGTGAGTATTTGCTTCAGGTTGGGGGGCTGCCTGTAAGGGAGGACTGGCCTGTCTCCCAAGGACTGTGAGAGTGAGTGATCATTTTCCAGAATAGGTTGTAGATCGTTGATAATGTGTTGGAGAGGTTTTAGCTGGGGGCAGTATGTGATGGCCAGTGGTGTTCTGTTATTTTCCTTGTTGGGCCTGACTTGTAGTAGGTTACTTCTGGGTGCCCATCTCGTTCTGTCAATCTGTTTCCTCACTTCCCCAGGTAGGTACTGTAGTTGTAAGAATGCTTGATAGAGATCTTGTAGGTGTTTATCTCTGTCTGAGGGATTGGAGCAAATGCGGTTGTATCATAGAGCTTGGCTGTAGACAATGGATCATGTGATGTGTCCTGGATGAAAGCTGGAGGCATGTAGGTAAGTAGAGCGGTCAGTAGGTTTCTGGTATAGGGTGGTGTTTACGTGACTATCACTTATTTGCACTGTGGTCCAGTCTGAGGTTGATGGTGTGGTGGAAATTGTTGAAATCCCGGTGGAATTCCTCAAGGGCTTCTTTTCCATGGGTTCATATGATGAAGATGTCATCAATGTAGCGCAAGTAGAGTAGGGGCGTTAGGGGACGAGAGCTGAGGAAGCGTTGTTCTAAGTCAGCCATAAAAATGTTGGCATACTGTGGGGCCATGCGGGTACCCATAGCAGTGCCGCTGATCTGAAGGTATACATTGTCCCCAAATGTAAAATAGTTATGGGTAAGGACAAAGTCACAAAGTTCAGCCACCAGGTTTGCCGTGACATTATCGGGGATACCATTCCTGACGGCTTGTAGTCCATCTTTGTGTGGAATGTTGGTGTAGAGGGCTTCTACATCCATAGTGGCCAGGATGGTGTTTTCAGGAAGATCACCGATGCATTGTAGTTGCCTCAGGAAGTCTGTGGTGTCTCAAAGATAGCTGGGAGTGCTGGTAGTGTGGGGTCTGAAGAGAGAGTCCAAATAGCCAATAATAATCCTGCTGTCAGGGTGCCAATGCCTGAGATGATGGGGCACCCAGGGTTTCCAGGTTTATGGATCCTGGGTAGCAGACAGAATACACCTGGTCGGGGCTCTGGGAGTGTGTCTGTGTAGATTTGTTCCCGTGCTGTAGCAGGGAGTTTCTTGAGCAGATGGTGTAGTTTCTTTTGGTACTCCTCAATGAGATTGGAGGATAGTGGCCTGTAGAATATGGTGTTGGAGAGCTGCCTGGCAGCCTCCTGTTCATAATCCGACCTGTTCATTATGACTACAGCTTGTGTGGAGCTAGGGGGAACCCAGACTTCCAGCCTGAGAGACCGTCACTGGCCTGGCCTGACACCTGTTCCCATCCCACCAGAGGGGCACCAGAGCACCGTCCCCCTGCCCTGAGAATGTCTTGAGTAGGAGCTCCCTTGTGAGAGCAGAGGGGCTGCGGCTTGGCCAGCCTGGCTGGGGATCCGTGTTGGGGCGGGAGCTAAGCTCTGATCTCCCCGGCAGATGGCGGTGCTGGAGATCCAGCCCAATGGGGACAGCCGAGTCTCAGAGGAGGCGATTGCTCGGGCAAGGCACTCCTTGGATGATCCCAACATGCGGGTGAGCAAGGCGGGCTGAGCCCCACCAGGGAACACCAAGGACATTGCAAAGAGTCCTGGCCACAACGCCCCACACGCTGATGGGCTCAGGGCTCCCCCCAGTCACCTGTTATGGGGCTTGGGGCTCCTCAACCCTCCATCTTACACATACAGGACTTGGGGCTCCCCCCACTTCAGTTTCCTTCTCAGGCTCTGCAGAGCTTGGGAATCCCCCACATGCCCTCGCAGTCCAAATCTCCCTCTCAGGAACTATGGGGCTCCCAATCCCCACTGCAGTCTCCTTCTAAGGGTCCATGGGGCTCAGGTCCCCCCATTGCCCCAATCTCCCTACAGCCCAACCCTCTGAATGGAGGGAGATTATATATAGAGTCCCCAAGCTCGGTGCGGCAGGTCCTGAAGGCTAGGAGAGAGATGCTGGAGACCAACTTTAGGATGCTAGATAAGAGATTAAAGCCCAGAACCTGAAATGCTTCCAGTTCCACGCACAGGGCCATTAGGCAGGCAGAACTGCAGGGTCTCAATGCACGGATGAGACATTGGTGCAGGGAGGAGGGTTTTAGGTTTATTAGGAACTGGGGAACGTTTTGGGAAAGGAGGAGCCTGTACAGGAAGGATGGGCTCCACGTAAACCAAAATGGAACCAGATTGCTGGCACGTAAAATTAAAAAGGTTGGAGAGGATGTTTTAAATTAAGGACAGGAGGAAAGCTGATAGGCGCAGAGGAGCATGCAGTTCAAGCAGAGACATCTCTTAGGGATGAGTTTATCAAAGGGGAAACTCTGTATCCTAGAAAAGAGTATAGGAAAGAAGTTGGTAAAGTCCAGGCAGGAGCTAGTGAGGAACAGTCAAACATACAAGTATCACATTTAAATGTAACACATGAATATTGACAAAATATATAAATGGTAGAAGTCTAAATACTAAGATGGGTGAACTAAAGTGCCTGGTATTAAATGAGAATATTGATACAAAAGCCATCACAGAAACTTGGTGGAATGAGGATAATCAATGGGACATATTTCAGAGTAGCAGCTGTGTTAGTCCGTATCCGCAAAAAGAACAGGAGGACTTGTGGCACCTCAGAGACTAACAAATGTATTTGAGCATAAGCTTTCATGGGCTAAAACCCACTTCATTGGACATAGAATCGCAGGACTGGAAGGGACCTCGAGAGGTCATCTAGTCCAGTCCCCCACAGTCATGGCAGGATTAAGTATTATCTAGACCATCCCTGACAGGCGTCTGTCTAACCTGCTTTTAAAAACCTCCCATGATGGAGATTCCCTAAGCTCCCTGGGCAATTTATTCCAGTGCTTAACTTCCCTGACAGTTAGAAAGTTTTTCATAATGTCCAACCTTGCTGCATTTAAGCCCATTGTTTCTTGTCCTATTCTCAGAGGTTAAGGAGAACCTCCTCCCTCCTCCGTATATCAACCTCCTCCCTCCTCCGTATATCAACCTTTTATGTACTTGAAAACTGTTCTCATGTCCCCTCTCAGTCTTCTTTTCTCCAGACTAAACAAACCCAATTTTTTCAGTGTTCCGTCATAGGTCATGTTTTCTAGACCTGTGGTCATTTTTGTTTCTTCTCTGGATTTTTTCCAATTTGGCCACATCTTTCCTGAAATATGGTGCCCAGAACTGGACACAATATTCCAGTTGAGCACGGTAATACCAGGGTACAAAATATACAGGAATGACAGAGTAGGTTGTGCTGGTGGGGGCGTGGAGAAAGCATGGAGTCAAATTAGTAAAAATCTTTAGTGAATCAAACTATACCATAGAATCTCAATGGATAGAAATTCCATGTTTGAATAATAAGAGTATAGCAGAAGGAATATACTACCGACTACGTGGCCAGAATGGTGAGGGTGATTGTGAAATGCTCAGGGAGATCAGAAAGGCTACAAAGGGAGAAAATGCAATAATAATAATAATAATTAATTAATAAATCATCCTCAAATTGATTGGGTACATGTCACCTCAGGATGGGATGCAAAAATAAATTTTCTAGACAGCATAAATTACTACTTCTTGAAGCAGCTTGTCCTGGAACCCACAAGGGGAGAGGCAATTCTTGATTTAATCCTAAATAGATCAAAGATGTGGTCCAAGAGGTGAATATAGCTGAAGTGCTTGGTAATAGCAACCATAACATAATTAAACTGAACATCCTTGGAGGGTGGGGGAAATGCCAAAGAAACCCACTACGGTAGCATTAACTTCAAAAAGGAGAACCATACAAAAGTGAGGAGGCTAGTTACATGGAGATTAAAAGGAAGAGTCACAAGGGTGAAATGCCTGCAAACTGCATGGAGATTATTTAAAACACATAATAGAAGCTCAAACTAAATGTGTACCCCAAATAAAAACAGTAAGAGGACCAAAAAATGCCACCATGGCTAAACAGCAGAGTAAAAGAGGCAGTTAGAGGTAAAAGGGCATCCTTCAAAAATTGTAAGTCAAATCCTAGTGAGGAAGATAGAAAGGAGCAGAAACTCTGTCAAGGCAAGTATAAAAGTATATAAAGCAGGCCAAGAAAGAATGTGAAGAGCAACTAGCTAAGGACACAAAAATTAACAGCAATTTTTTTAAAATACATCAGAAGCAGGAAGCATGCCTAGCAGTCAGTGGAGCCACTGGACAATTGAGGAGCTAAAGATGCACTCAGAAAAGATAAGGTCATTGTGGAGAAGCTAAGTGAATTTTTTTCATTGGTCTTCACTGCAGAGGATATGGGGGAAATCCCCACACCTGAGCCATTCTTTTTAGGTGGCCAGTCTGAGGAACTGTCCCAGATTGAGGTCTCAATAGAAGAGGTTTGGGAGCAAATTGACTTATTACTGTTTAATTTATCATCAGAACCAGATGGGATTCATCCAAGAGTTCTGCAGGAACTCTGATATGAAACTGCAGAACTTACTAACGGTGGGGTGTAATCGATCACTTAAATCAGCCTCTGGACCAGGTGACTGGAGGGCAGCTACTGTGAAGCCAATTTTTAAAAAAAGGCTCCTGGGAATTAGAGGCCAGTAAGCCTGACTTCAGTACCAGGTAACTGCTTGAAACTATAGTAAAGAACAGAATTATTTGAGGTGTAATAAACACAGTATGTTGGGAAAGAGCCAGCTTTTCCCGGCTTTTGTAAAGGGAAATCCTGCCTCACCAATTTATTAGAATTCTTTGGGGGTTTCAACACACATGTGGACAAGTGGATATAGTGTATTTGGACTTTCAGAAAGCCTCTGACAAGGTCCCTCACCAAAGGCTCCTAAGCAAAGCAAGGGATAAGAGGGAAGGTCCTCTCATGGATCAGTAATGGGTTGAAAGATAGGAAACAGGGTAGGAATGAATGGTTAGTTTTCAAAATGGAGAGAGGTAAATACCAGGGTTCCCCAAGGATCTGTACTGGGACCAGTGCTGTTCAACATATTCATAAATGATCTGAAAAAAGGGGGTGAACAGTGAGGTGATAAAGTTTGCAGATGATACAGAACGACTCAAGATAGTTAAGTCCAAAGCTGAATGTGAAGAATTACAAAGGGATCTCACAAAAGGGATACTCAGGAACTGGGCAACAAAATGGCAGATGAAATTCAGTGTTGATAGGTGCAAAGTAACGCACATTGGAAAACATCATCCCAACTATATGTATAAAATGATGAGGTCGAAATTAGCTGTTACCCCTCAAGAAAGAGATCTTGCAGTCATTGTGGATAGTTCTCTGAAAACATCCATGCAATGTGCAGCATAGGGTGACCAGATAGCATATGTGAAAAATCCGGACTGGGCTGGGGGGTAATAGGCGTCTATATAAGAAAAAGCCCAGACTATCAGGACTGTCCCTATAAAATCGGGACATCTGGTCACCCTAGTGCAGCGGCAGTCAAAAAAGTGAAAAGAATATTAGGAACCATTAGGAAAGGGATAGATAATAAGACAGAAAATATCATAATTGGGGGAGGGATAGCTCAGTGGTTTGAGCATTGGCCTGCTAAACCCAGGGTTGTGAGTTCAATCCTTGAGGGGGCCATTTAGAGATCTGGGGCAAAAACTGGGGCTTGGTCCTGCTTTGAGCAGGGGGTTGGACGAGATGACCTCCTGAGGTTCCTTCCAACCCTGATCTTCTATGGTTCTATGATAATGCCACTATATAAATTCATGGTACACCCACACCTTGAATACGGCGTGCATTCTGGTTGCCCCATCTCAAGAAAGATATATTAGAATGGGAAAAAGTGCAGACAATGACAGGGGTATGAAACAGCTTCTGCAGAAGGAGAGAGTTGAAAGACTGGGACTTCAATTTTAAAAAGGAGACAATTAACAGGGGATGTGACAGAGGGTCTATCAATCATGACTGCTGGCGAGAAAGTGACCAGGGCAGTGTGATTTACCCCTTCACAGAACACAAGAGCCAGGGGTCACCCAGCGACATGAGCAGGCAGCAGGTTTAAAACAAACCAACGGAAGCATTGCTTCACGCAGCGCCCAGCCACCCCGTGGAGCTCAGTTCAAGGTGGTGTTTTTGATCGGCTTTTATTGACACCTGTTCAGTACAAAGCTCTTTGTGAGCGATTCAGATGCTCCTCCACCTAGGGCTGAGAGCTCCTGCTCCTGCTCTTCCCCGCAGGTCTCCAGCAGAAACGGGAGGTAGGACCTGCCATTCCCGACTTCCCTATGGTGATAAAGCAGCAGAGAAGTTTCTGGGGAGAGGGGAGCTGGAGAGGAGCAGAGCAGGGAGGTCATAGAGTGCCGCCGAGCAGAGCGCCTCCGCAGCCTTTCTTTTCCACCGAGGAGCAGGAAAGGGCGCGCGTCCAGCCTTTCCCCTCTGCAGGCCGCCATTAAGCGTTTCCAGCTCCCCCGTCCAGCTGTGTCTTGAATCCTCCTCTCGCCCCAACCCCAGGATGTTCAATATCTTCATAAATGATCTGGAGGATGGTGTGGATTGCACTCTCAGCAAATTTGCTGATGATACTAAACTGGGAGGAGTGGTAGATACGCTGGAGGGGAGGGATAGGATACAGAAGGACCTAGACAAATTGGAGGATTGGGCCAAAAGAAATCTGATGAGGTTCAATAAGGATAAGTGCAGGGTCCTGCACTTAGGACGGAGGAACCCAATGCACAGCTACAGACTAGGGACCGAATGGCTAGGCAGCAGTTCTGCGGAAAAGGACCTAGGGGTGACAGTGGACGAGAAACTGGATATGAGTCAACAGTGTGCCCTTGTTGCCAAGAAGGCCAATGGCATTTTGGGATGTATAAGTAGGGGCATAGCGAGCAGATCGAGGGACGTGATCGTTCCCCTCTATTCGACATTGGTGAGGTCTCATCTGGAGTACTGTGTCCAGTTTTGGGCCCCTCACTACAAGAAGGATGTGGATAAATTGGAGAGAGTCCAGCGAAGGGCAACAAAAATGATTAGGGGTCTAGAACACATGAGTTATGAAGAGAGGCTGAGGGAGCTGGGATTGTTTAGCCTGCAGAAGAGAAGAATGAGGGGGGATTTGATAGCTGCTTTCAACTACCTGAAAGGGGGTTCCAAAGAGGATGGCTCTAGACTGTTCTCAATGGTAGCAGATGACAGAACGAGGAGTAATGGTCTCAAGTTGCAGTGGGGGAGGTTTAGATTGGATATTAGGAAAAACTTTTTCACTAAGAGGGTGGTGAAACACTGGAATGCGTTACCTAGGGAGGTGGTAGAATCTCCTTCCTTAGAGGTTTTTAAGGTCAGGCTTGACAAAGCCCTGGGTGGGATGATTTAACTGGGAATTGGTCCTGCTTCGAGCAGGAGGTTGGACTAGATGACCTTCAGGGGTCCCTTCCAACCCTGATATTCTATGATTCTATGATTCTATGTCTCCCAGCCTGTGAGCGCAGAGGAAGGGCTCTCAGGTGCTGATTCTGACGGGCTGTTAGACACCCCCCGCCCACTCTTCGCAGTCTGCTTGCTGAATTTCCCCTGCATCCTCCACCTGCACATTGCGCAGCAGCACCAGGAGCCAGCGCTCCTGGTAGCCCAGACTCCTGTTGCAATAGGGCCCCCAGGAACATCGTCACCTTAAGGTGGTACCACGAATTCCACGATCATTGCACCGAAGTCTGCGCACTCTACAGTCCTCTGGTGTCGCTGCCAACTGGCACGAGGCTCCTGGAGCCCTCAGAGGACGGGCACGCGTTGCCTCTCCTGGGCCGCTGTGGTGGGGCTGCAGCGGGGGGAGGTCTCTGCATTGCCGCGGACTCATGCCCCCCCCGTTTTGCCCCTCAGGACTTCATTCTGGGGTGCCTGCTCCTCAACCCGGACAAGCGGCCAACAGCCCATAACCTGCTCTTCCACCAGGTGCTCTTTGAGGTCCACTCCCTCAAACTGCTGGCAGCGCACTGCTTCATCAACGGCCAATGTGAGTGAGCGGGGACGAGGAACGGGGACGCTCAGCCGCAGCACCCTGGCACTAGGCTGAGCCTTGAGCAGAGCGGTACCAGATGCAGCCACCCAAATCCCTGCCCCAGCGCAGCCGAGGGCATGGGAGAGGCTCTCTGGGCCCCTCCTTGGGGAAGGGGCAGTCTCTGGCCCCTACCTGCGGGGAGAGTTTGTGCCGTGCTCCCAGCTGACAGGTTCTTCTCTTGCCTTTGCTGTAGACCTGATGCCGGAGAACGTGGTGGAGGAGAAGACGAAGGAGCTGGACCTGAACATGGTGATGGCGGAGATCCGGCGAGAGGGGCTGCCTGCAGTGCAGTGGAGGTGAGACCCCTGGGGAGGGGGATCTTGGGGCAGCAGCAGCAGCGGGGAGTGTGGATGGGCAGGAAACCCTGCAACTTCCAAGCCCAGCAACCATGGCTTGGTGCTCCTAGTGTCACTGCCCCACCTCTCCCCCAGCCCCTCTTTCCGCCCCTCCTTGCCCCACTGTCCCCAGTAACCTCTCCACTCCTGTTTCTCTTCCAGATACTCAGAAGTCTCCTTCCTGGAGCTAGATAAGTTCCTGGAGGACGTCAGGTGAGCTGGGGTTGGCTGAGGGATCCGTGGGACACCACCCAGGCCTGTTCAGACGCTCCTTGTGTGGATAACATGCTGCCAGCGAGGCTTGGACAGACAGGGCCTCAGCTCAGGCTCCCTAGTGCAAGCACCAGTGGGGTGGCTGGTTTCGTTCAGTCCTGACCCCTGGATGCCAGACAATGCCTCGTCCCTGGGCTGCATGGAGCTGCCAGCCTCTCGAACACTGCAGGGAAGCTTTTGCAGAAATGTTTCCTTTCTGCTGAGTGGTTTCTGGGTCAGTTCCTGATTTGTCCCCCTCCCCATGGTCGACCCGAGCTGGCTGCTGTTCTGTCCACGGCCCCTGGACTGCGGGGGCCCCCAAGGCTAAAGCCCTGGGCTGCCGTAGGACAGCCATGTCTGGAGTGAGGGGGAAGGGCTTGTGCCCTGCTGCCTCCCCCACATCAACAGGGCCCGGCTTCTCCTCCCCCTGCAGAGCACAGCTCCCCCGGGGCCATGACCCCTCCCTCGCCCCTTGCTAGCTGGGCCTTGGCATGGCTTGTTCCGCCTGACCTGTCTCTCTGTGGCAGGAACGGGATCTATCCCCTGATGAACTTCGCGGCCACCAGGCCCCTGCTGCTCCCGCGTGCGCTCTCCCAGCCTCAGGAGGACCCCCAGAAAGCCAAGACCCCCACCCCGGAGCCCTTCGATGTGGAGACGAGGAAGGTAAGGGCAAAAGTGGGACCATTTCAAATGCCACCCTGGGGACAGCACCCCCTGCTGGAACTAGGCAGACTGTGCCCTTTTCTGCTACGCTCTTGCCCTGTGGACTCCCCTCCCACTGGTCTGGCGCGGCCCCCCAGCCCAGCTGCAAGGTCTCCGGCCGGCACGGGAGAGACGTTTCCAGTGCCCACAGTGAGTGCTGTGGGCTCCCCACTTGGGATCGAGCTAATGCACTTTGTTCTCAGCCTTGACCCATCAGAGCAGCCGGGCTGGGGCTGGGGCTGGGGCTGGTCTCCGGTACATTTCCCAGGAGGTCCACAGACAGCACTAAAGCCCAGGGCATGATGGGAGGTAGGGATTGATTATTGTTTGATACTGACTTTACAGTGAGACCCCAGCTGAGATCAGGCCCCTGTTGTGCAGGGTGCTGCACAGAAAGGGAGAAAAATCCCTGCCCCACATGGCTTATGCTCCAGTGGAAGGTACAGTCTTGCCAACTGGGCAGAGCAAACAGCTGAAGGGAGAAGGGGAGTGGGGCAAGCATGAGTGGATGCATGGTTACAGACACTCTCTTTCTTACTCCTCTCTATTCTTTGTATTACGGTAGCTCTGGATCCAGGACCCTGCTGTACTGGGTGCTGTAGAAATGTGTAACAGAGACAGCCCCTGCCCCAGAACACTTACAGGCCAAGTGTAAGACTGTAGACAGTAGGTGGATATAACAGGCAGAGCAGGCACAAGGAAACAGTGAGACTATACGGGTCAGGATGAAAAGCAGAGGTCACAACACACCAGCTGCCTAAGCAGTGCTAAGGTTTTTGTGGGCCTGGCAGCAGGGGGAGTGCTAAGGAGGGATTTGAAAGAGGACAATGAGGTGGCTTTGCAGAGGTGTTTCGGGGAGCTTCTCCCATGCACAGTGAGTGTAATGAGAGATGGCTTGTGGGGAAATTGCTAAAATGGGCAATCAAGACTGGCATCATTTCCTGAATGAATGAAGGAGTCCACATGTCTATGGCACATGAAAAAGATGGGGCAAGTGGGGATAGGCCATCAAAGACTCTACAGCAGGGGTGGGCCACATCTGGCTATGGAAATGATATCGCGGGCCCCCTCATGAAATTGGGGGTTGGGGTGTGGGAGGGGGTGAGGGCTCTGGCTGGGAGGGCAGGCTCTGGGGTGGAGCCAGAAATGAAGAGTTCAGGATGTGGGAGGGGGCTTCGGGCTGGGGCAGGGGGTTGGGGTGCAGGGGTGGGGGTGAGGGCTCTGGGATGGGGCTGGGGATGAGAGGTTGGGGTGCAGGGGTGGGGGTGAGGGCTCTGGCTGGGGGTGCGGGCTCTGTGATGGGGCTGGAGATGAGGGGTTGGGGGTGCAGGAGGGTGCTCCGGGCTGGGACCAAGGGGTTTGGAGGGCAGGAGGGGGATCAGGGCTGGGGCACGGGCAGGGGGTTGGGGCATGGGAGGGGTCAGGGGGTGCAGGCTCTGGGCGGCGCTTACCTCAAGCAGCTCCCAGAAGCAGCGGCACATCTGCTCTCCAGCTCCTATGCGGAGGCGCAGCCAGGCAGCTCTGTGCACGGCTCCGTCCGCAGGTGCCACCCCTGCAGCTCCCATTGGCCATGGTTCCCGGCCACATGCACTATATGTGCCTTCACTGCAGAGCTGCGGGGGTGGTGCTTGGGGCAGGGCTGTGGGCAGTGTTTGGAGCCCCCTGCCTGCCCCTACACGTAGGAGCTGGAGGGGGGACATGCTGTTGCTTCTGGGAGCCGTGCAGAGGCATGGCACGCGTGGGGCGGGGGAAAGCCCCCAACCTCGCTCCCTGGCTGAAGCGCTGGAGCAGGACAAGCCCCGAACCCTGCTCCCTGGCAGGAGCTTGAGGGCCTGATTAGAATGTCTGAAGAGCCGGATGCGGCCCCCAGGCCGTAGTTTGCCCACCGCTGCTCTGCAGTGAAGGCACATATAGTGCATGTCTTTGAAGTGGAAGAGGCACTAGCAGAGGGACACAAAGCGGGGAATCAAAACGAGAAGCCGGGAAGAGGACTTCTGTGCTTATTATTTGTAAAGCCGTCCTGCCTACGAGCCCCTGAGAACAGCGCTAGGCATGGGACAAACACAGACCAGAGAGAGGGCCTGGCCTCAAAGAGCTGACAATCTAAGTAGCCGTGTTTTTAAGGGCTACAAGTGAGTCTAGACGGCATCTGTCAAGGCCAGAGAAGAGGAGGTGGCAGGTAAGTGAGATGATGAGGGCCTGGATGAGAGATTTAGCTGTGTGGGCAGAGATTAGAGGCCTCCGCCTCCTCTTCTATGTGGAGTTCAGCCACCAGGGGATAGCCTCTGTCCTGAGGGAGGCCAGACATTGTACACCAGACTCCAGTTGTCAGGTTGGGCACTCTTCTACCACAGGTTATTGTCTGCGATGTTGCCCCAGGGACACGGCATGGGGAGGAAACCAGGCCAAGCCAATGCACGGTCTGGTCTGGACCTTTGGTCTGACCCAGTATGGCCCTTCTTACGGCTGCGGCACCTGTGAACGACCCAGAGAGTAGTCTACTGAGCCTGCTCTAGTGTCTATGGACAAGGAGGCAGGTTCACTCATGGATTCCTGAATTTATTTAGGCCCGGCCTACACTAGGAAAGTATAACCGTTGCTGAGGGATGTGAAAAAATCTACCCCTGAGTGATGCAATTAAACCGACCTACCTCCTGGTGTGGACAGCGCTAGGTGACCGGGAGAATTCTGCCGTCAGCCTAGCTACTGCCTCTCTGGGAGGTAGAGTTCCCTTGGCATAGCTCGTGTCTACACTGAAGCCCTACAGCAGCGCAGCTGCATCACTGCTGTGTTGCATGTGTAGACAAGCCCCTAGGGCGTCAGACTCTTTCCCACAGATGCTTCCATTGTGTAAGAACATAGTTTTCAGCTCCTTGGCAGCATGGACCATCCATGCATGCCAAAGGGCCAGTAGCGCTTTTGTCCCGGAGTGCACGAGCGGCCACAGCAAAGTGGGTCAAAGAGATCAGCCATCATGTCACACCCCAGTCAGGAGTGGGAGTCCGCCCCAAGTATAAGCTGGTGCTGAACGTTGTTTCCTGTCTGAGAATGGGGCATCGGGCAGCTGGAAAGGCCAGAACATAATGGTGTTTTGCAGAAAGAAGTGGCAGGATTAGAACCCGGCCTGGATGTGAGGATCTGAGGGAGGGCTGAGTGGAAGGTGACACCCATCTTACAGACATGAGTGACGGGGAGGATGGAAGTGTTGTCCACAGCGATTGAGAAAGGAGGCAGGAGAGGCGGGGGCGGTGGGGGGAACGATTAAGAGCTTGGAACAATTTGTGGGTGGTGAGTCAATCGGAGTTTTAGGGCCTAAATAATTGCTGCTTTCACTAAGCGCTGGTTTCCTCCGCGCCCCAGGGGTGCTCAACCCCCTGCTCCACCCCAGGTCCTGCCCCACCCGACCCCTTCCCCCAAGCCTCCACCTCTGCCTTGCCTCTTCCTGCCCCCAGCCCTGCCCCCGTTCCACCCCTTCCCCAAACCCTGCTCTGCCCCAGGCCTTACCCAGCCCCCACCTCCAACCCTCCTCTCCCCACCCCTGGCCCTGCCCCCACTCCACCCCTTCCCCCAAGTCCCCACCCCCACCTCTTCCCATCCCCACTCTGCCCCCACCCTGCCTCTTCCCGCCCGGTTCCATGCCCTCCCCCAAGTGCGCCCCATTCCCGCTCCTCCCCCTCCTGCATGCCACGGAACAGCTGATCTGTGGCAGGCAGAAGGCGCTGGGCGGGAGGAGGAGGAGCTGGTCAGCGTGGGGCCGCCGGTGGGCAGGAGGCGCTGGGGGGGTTGGAACGTGGCTGCCGGTGGGTGCTAAGCACCCGCTAATTTTCTCCCGTGGGTGCTCCAGGGATGCAGCACCCACGGAGTCAGCACCCATAGCTGCTTTATAACAGTCAGGAGGGGACAAATGTGCCGGTGTCTCTGTGTTGACAGATATTGTATCGTTGTCTGCCTCTCCCCTCAACCTCTGGCGACCACTGGGACTGTGGGCTCCTTGGCCAGGCCCACAACCATGACTGGGTGTGTTTGTGCAGGGCCCAGCTCAGATGGACCCTGGGCTGGCCCAGTCTGGCAGTTCCTATGGGACAGAAATGGGGGAGGGAAGGGAAAAGGTTTTAGGTGGCAGATAGGCAGCTGGGGTTGTGGGATGTAAGTCAGAGGGGGGGAGTCAAGCTGCCTGGCCAGGGATACGGCCGAGCTGAAGGAGGGGAGACTGCATGTGCCCCAGTGCTGCTCCCAGGCTGATGTTTGTCTTGGTCTCTCCTAGGTAGTGCAGATGCAGTGCAGCATGGAGATGAATGAAGAGAAGGCCCAGTGGCATGTAAGCCATGAGCCCAGCACTGGGCCAGTACCAGAGCTTGACCCTCTTGGTCTGTCCTTCCCCTTGTCCCTAGAACAAAGGTCGGTAGGACGTTTGTTACAGCAGCAGGCAGGGGTCCACGGTGTGGGGTGGTGCAGAAACAGTCCCAGCTAGTGAGTTCCAGCAGGGTGCCCCAAAGAGCTCCCTATTTTTAGGAAGACAGCTGGGCCATGGGGTGTGAGGGGAGGGAGACAGCCACACAGATCAATGTTTCACAAACAGAGATGTTTGCTTTTGGCTTTGTAGCTCTATAAATGAACCCCAGCATATAAATTCGACTAACATTCTCCTGGGGGATCCTTGGAGGGATCCTGAGCCCTTTATCCTCTGCAGGGAACTCCCAGAGCACTCGCTGCAGCCTGGAGCGAGGCTGGAGAGGGAAAGACTTGGGATTGTTGCACTGGGTGGGGTGCCTCCGACCCTACCCTTCTCCCAGTGTAATGTACCATTTTAGCCGTGATAGAGGAAAGGCACATTCATTCCAGAAGGGCCTTCAAAGGGCACGTCTGACTGGCTGCCCGCTCCTCCGAGCAGCCTCTGGTGCTGGCTGAGCGAGCTGCACCTTTGTTTCCTAAGGAGGAGCTGATGCTCTTTTCTAATACGCTCTCTCTTCCTGCTGCAGCTCACGCTCTTGCTAACCCTGGAGGACAAGCTGCACCGACAGTTAAGCTATGACCTGCTGCCAAGTAGGTTTATTTATAATTACCATTACCTATGATTGATCTAGTAGTCGTGCTTGAGGGCCCTGAGCAGGGTTGGGCCCCCATGGCACAAGGCCATGCTCAGACTTACAGGAGGACGTGGTCCTTACTCCAAAGAGCTCACAGTCTGTTTACAACCTGGTTTCCTTTCCTCTCTGTACTGGAAGAGGCAGATTGAACCCTGCCAGCCAGGTGTAGGGTCCTGCCCACCTGAGCCCCCAGAGCAGTGGGTGTCCGGAGCTCACAGCCTCTGGGAGCATAGTGGAATGGCCATTAGGAAGGTTCACGTTATCCTGATTAGAATTTCGCCCCTGCACCCCAATACTGTGACACCTGTCAAGAGAAGGGGAAGCAGTAGGTCATTTCTCCCGAGACAGCAGCCTTTTTCTGCAGCTTTAGTAAAGGAAAGTCCATGGCTGAGTGAGCTGCCCTTGCAGGGTGTGGAAGTTCCTGGCCATTCATCCTGGCTCTGCTGCAGAGCCCAGAGGTGGTTCTCTTCAGAGCACGCCCAGTCCCAGCCTAACTCATGGGGAAGACAGGAGCCCTCTGGAGGAAAGTGCAGCCATCTTTATCTAGCACCCTGCAGTCAGAGGTCTTTACCCAGCCTCACAGACAGCCAAAAAGCCCAGGGCCAGGGATCTCCCTGCACAGGGCTTGGTATCATAAAAGGCCCTTTTTGGTTTCTGAGGCGAAATGAGCCAAGAATGTCAGAAGGGCGTTCTGCTGAGATGACTACACTTTGCCTGGTTTGGGAGTGGAACCTTGCAAAGCTCATTTCACCCGGCACTTGGCATGAGGCCCACTCAGTGCTCACCTACATGTTCTGTCTGCCCCATAATCACATGGGCTAGTGCTCAGCCAGCCCTAGGCTCACTCCATCTATGTTACCAAAGCCAAATGCGTCAGCAAAAGCTTCCAGCTGGGCTGTGTGCCAGGAGCAGCGCTCTCTGGAGGGAATGCGAGCTGCACGAATTTCCTTTTCTCACAGTTAACCCTGTTTCTGCAGCTGACAGTTCCAAGGGCTTGGCCTCAGAGCTGGTGCACTACGGATTCATCCATGAGGTGAGCCTCCTCCCCTCTCCTTTAGAATCTGCATGACTCCCTCGGGCAGGGATCTGCTGCCAATATATTAACACAGGGCTCTCTAATTCTCCACAACACCCTAAGCCTCAGGGGCATGAGGGCTGCCGAGGGGGCGCACCTAGGCCTGGGGAGTCCACTCACTTACTGTCCCATTTAACGAAGCTTTTTCTGATGACTGTGGCCAGGGTCAGACAGGGCCAGTTTATGGCTGCATGATGAACCCACTGCTTTTTACCATGGTGCCATTCTTTGCCTATCTGCTTCGCTCAGGCCTGGCCCCAGGCTGCTGCAATGACAGGAGTAGCCATACTGTCATGGCACAAGTCACACACTGAGTGGGACCAAATTTAAAAATGATTCTGAAGTATGAAACCAGAAAAGCTGCCTAGATCAAAGAGCCCAGATGAGACTCTCTGCCACCTCCTGCCTCCCCCAGAGAAGCATCCAAGCCTGCTGCTGCCCCAAAAAGCAGTCACTGACCTACACTGCAGCTTTCTACCTGGCCAGAAGATGGAATTAGTTCCCGCACCACCAAACTTGTGCACAGCACATTTCTCTTCAGTGGCCCCAGAGCTAGGAAGGGCCCAGCTAGTTCAGCAGTCCAGAGCCAGGGGAATGCAGATGCTTCGAGTAGCAGAGCATCCTGGAGGAAGCCTGGCTAGGAGGAAGCGGACACACTTATTTTTGCCAAAAAATGGTGTCGCGTTTTGGCCATGAGTTGGGAATTTGGAAACCGTAAGTGAAGTCTGGGAGAATTCCTCAAGCTGAATCCTGACCCTACCCGAGCAGTTAGTCAGCTCCTTTGGCAAACAGCTTTATCTGCCGGGCACTTACAAGATGATGCATTTATACTTCGTTCCTGGACGGCCTCTTAAGCATATGGACCATATAGCACAGAGGTCATCTGCCAAAATGAACAGGGAAGACTTGGGAGAGAACAAGAGTCCCCGCCGATAGAGCATTTCTGGAAAATACATGGCTCCTGGTACAATCTGTTGATTCCAAAGTCAAACAATTTTCTGTTAAGAAGCAGAGAGAAATGTCTTTCACAAGCTGGAGATTTTGTGGGTGTCGAGGTGTGTGTGACCCTCCGCGGCAGGGAAATTAACCAACCCTTCCTTCGCTTGGGTAGGAGAATGTTACTATGTGGCTCCTGGCAATCTGATGACCCCTCTACAGCATCAGCTGCTCTGCCTATCTGACCTTTGCCTCTCTGGATCTCCACAGCCCTGCTCTTCTCCTTGCTAACACAGAGACATGAGAGGTGATGGTGAGGGTTAGACGTGGGGAGTGCTCTCAGCTACACCAAGCCTAATTAACCTGCTGATTCCTTTCTCCTAGGATGACTGTGAAATGCTGGCCAACTTCCTAGAAAATGCTTTCCATAAGCACCGGTCTCCTCCCTTGTGAGTCACCCCGATGAGTTCTGGGCAGACAGGTGCCCCCCAAAGGAGGATGGGAACTGTCCCAGGCCAGAAGGGGCTCTTGATCAGACTTTCTGCTGCAGAGGTGACCTCGCCATTTGTTCCTGGCTGTATCTCTACTGTCCATCTGGCCTGTGATTCAGAAAGACAGTGGCAAGAAGAGAAAGAACCAGCAAACATGAGGCATTAGACATGCGTCATTGTTACCAGGAACCCGCCAAGAACGTGCTCTTTAGTCCCCACTTCTGAAGGAGCCAGGGCGAGCAGTGAGGTGGTTTAAGGAGTGGAGGATCATGCAGGAAGCTTCTGGCTGGCGGGTTTTTGAAGATGCAAAGCTGCTGCAAGAGCTCACAATCGGTAAATTTACCTCTGGGAGCAAGAAGCACCTTCACTGTGGGCCATCACTTCGCTTCCTCAGCTGGAAATGGTCACAGCAGGGAGTGAGTCGGGTTGGGGGGAGTGCAGGTTTGGGAGGATCTTGAGTAGTTTCTTGTCTGCCACATTCCACCCCTTTTCCAGGCCTGATTCCTCCTGCTCTGCTGGGTTCTCCCAGGGCAAAGGAGCCATTGCAATGCCTTATAAGAACCGGACTCCCTCTGCTAGGCTGAGGAGAGGACATTGTGAGCTTGACTGACATGGCATGGGAAGAAATTGCAGGAATCCAGAACCATCAGGTGGTTCATAAAATATGGAAAAACAGAAGAACCCCTGGTGCTGAGCACAGCCTCTGACATTTCAGAGTTTGTCTCTTAGCCTTCCAAAATTTTGCTGTGTCGTAGGGAAAAGCCTCGATGTCTCTTCCTTCCATTTCTCCTGTGGAATTTCCATCATTAGATGGGAGAATGGGGGCAAATATAGCTGCTGCTTTGTCAGGTTCAAGATTGGAATATTATGCAAATAGGAATTGTGTATCAAAAGCTGTGCCATGCTGCTCTGCCTGCACCTCGCTGCTCTGAGTGTACAGTTCACACTGTGCCATACGGGCCATGCTGACTTTTTTACACCGTGCCTGATTCCCTGTCTAGTACTGGCTGCGTATGCTTTGCCACGCAGCACAGACTGTACCCTGGTGTGCTGGGCTTGCCATGCTAAGCTGCTTTGCCACGCTGTCCTGGCTGTTTAATTACGTGAGTTTTCCAAGCGCTGATATTGTGCTAACTTTGTGGACACTGACGTTTCAATAAATGGATTGAAAAGAACAAACTCCATTGCGAAACATGATGACTGAGTGACCCATTCAGAGTCGTTGTGGATTGTCTGCTCTCCCCATTACACAAAGAAGGGGTAAGGTAGCTTCCTCTATGTTCCAAGTGGCTTATCCAGAACGTCAGGTACACTGAAACGCTGAACAAATTAGATGGAGAAACTTTCTCTGGACGCTTAGTTCAGCCGGGCTTCTCACTCTTTCCACTTAAGCCAGGGCAAGTCTGGGCTTGAGTCTATGGAAATGCTGAAAGCTTTCTTTGTGCGGTGCCTACTTCATATCCCTGATGGAGCAATTAGCTTTAGTTCGGCCCCTAGGTTTTCCCCTTGGTGATTTCTTTGTATAACCAACACGTCACAGCTTGATTTCTCCAGAGATTTTTCCTCCCAATGACTTTGCTGTGCTCTGCAGTGGTGTATTTTGTTAGCTAATCTCTACACAATTCCTAGAAAGAATAGGAGGACTTGTGGCACCTTATAGAGACTAACAAATTTATTTGAGCATAAGCTTTTGTGAGCTACAGCTCACTGCATCGGACGCATTTCCTAGAGTACATGATGCATGAGGCAAGGATGATCTGAGGTTGAGGAATGAAGCTCCACACCCTGAAAGAGCTCCAGCTGGTAAAACAAAACACAGCAGTCTGTCTGCTCAGCACCAAGGATTGTTGTGATTTTTTCCTCAACACGCTCCCCTGCTCCAAAATATTTTTTCCTGGCAGAAGAACTCACTAAAAAAATACAGTGCAAACAACCCAAAGGGCTTGTAATCGATATCTTGGGTACTTATATGCCCAATATCTGAGCGCCTCACACTCTTTAAAGACAACGCTATGTGATCCGCCTCTTGAGCGTGTATCTCATTCTGTAAGTGTGAAAAGGCACATGCCCAAAAGGGATAGCTTCCAACTCTGCACTGAGAATATGAGAACTGAGTCCCAGCCTACGGATCAGTTAGGTCTGCCAATCTTTTGCACCTGCTGTTAGACACCAACATGCTTTCCAGTTGTGGCACTGTACCAGGGGTCAAAAAAGAATTAATTAATTATAGGGGGATAGGTCCATCGATGGCTATTAGCCAGGATGGGCAGGGATGGTGTCCCTAGCTGCTGTTTGCCAGAAGCTGTGAATGGGCGACAGGGGATGGATCACTTGGTGATTCCCTGTTCTGTTCATTCCTTCTGGGGCACCTGGCATTGGCCGCTGTTGGGAGACAGGACACTGGGCTGGATGGACCTTTGGTCTGACCCAGTGTGGCCGTTCTTATGTTCATGCATGAGATGCTGAGCTGGTTGGTCTCTTCAAAATTAAAAGACAAATCTGAATTCTGATTTTCCTTCTACCATTTTGCCACAATTAATTGCCACCCAACCTCTTCTGCAAAAATAGATTTTGGGTAGATTTGTAGATTATAAAGTCAGATGGGCCCACTGTGATCATACAGCCCAGCGGCTCCCAAACTGTGAGCTGCAGCACACAGTCCCAGGTGCTCCGCCATCATGGGCAGAGCGTCAGTGTGGGGTGGGGGAGGGGGCGAGCAGCAACACCAGGTGCTTTGTGCATCCAGGTCAGTTTCTCCACGTGGGCTGAGTAAGGGGAGAGTGGAAGAACAGCTCCTGATGCCTCACAGCACAGCCCATGTGTGGAAACAGACTTGGACGCACAGAGCACCTGGCGTCGCCGCTCACCTGCCCTCAGCCTTGTAACCCACAGGTGGCGGGGGGTAGGGTGGGGGCGACAGAGGAATGTTCGGGGAGGGCAAGCGGCAATGCTCAGTGCTCTGCGCATCAAGGTCAGTTTCTTCAGTCTCCAAGCTCAGGTAGGTGTAGTCCTTGGTGGCGGCAAACCACTGGGTGCTGATAGCCACAGTGACCGTGCAGGACGGGCCTGGCCTGGCCCAGCATGCGCACAGCCACAAGGAGCAGAGCCACTCTCACTGTGCCACCTAGAAGGGGTAGCTAGGGATAGTGCACAGGCGGGGGGGTAGCTCAGCACATAGCTGGGTCTCACAGCAGCAGCACCCCCTCGGACACAACCCCTCCTGGCATCCAGCCCTAGCTACCCCCTTGCCTGCACACAGCCCCTAGCTGCCCCCTGCGTGCACACAGCCCCTAGCTGCCCCCTTGCCTGCACACAGCCCCTAGCTACCCCTGCCTGCCCCCTGACCGTAGATACCCCCCCGCCTGCCCCCTGAGCTACCCCCTTGCCAGCATACAACCCCTAGCTGCCCCCTGAGCTACCCCCTGCCTGAACACAGCCTCTAGCAACCCCCTTGCCTGCATCCAACCCCTAGCTACCTCTGCCCACACCCTGAACCTAGATACCCCCCCGCCTGCCCCCAAGCCTCCACCCAGCCCCTAGCTGCCCTCTGCCCGCACACAGCCCCAGCTACCCCCTTGCTGGCATCCAACCCCTAGCTGCCCCCTGAGCTGCCCCCTGCCTCCACCCAGCTAACTCCTGCCCACACCCTGAGCCTAGATACCCCCCTGCCTGCCCCCTTGCCTGCATCCAACCCCTAGCTGCCCCCTGCGTGCACACAGCCCCTAGCAACCCCCTTGCCTGCATCCAATCCCTAGCTACCCCTGCCTGCCCCCTGACCGTAGATACCCCCCCACCTGCTCCCTGAGCTACCCCCTTGCCAGCATACAACCCCTAGCTGCCCCCTGAGTTACCCCCTGCCTGAACACAGCCTCTAGCAACCCCCTTGCCTGCATCCAACCCCTAGCTACCTCTGCCCACACCCTGAACCTAGATACCCCCCCGCCTGCCCCCAAGCTACCCCCTTGCCTCCACCCAGCCCCTAGCTGCCCTCTGCCCGCACACAGCCCCAGCTACCCCCTTGCTGGCATCCAACCCCTAGCTGCCCCCTGAGCTGCCCCCTTGCCTGCATCCAACCCCTAGATACCCCGAGTGCACACAGCCCCTAGCTGCCCCCTGCCCGCACCCTGACTCTAGATACCCCCCTGCCTGCCCCCTGAGCTGCCCCCTTGCCTGCATCCAACCCCTAGCTACCCCTGCCTGCACCCTGACTCTAGATACCCCCCCGCCTGCCCTCTGAGCTGCCCCCTTGCCTGCATTCAACCCCTAGCTGCCCCCTGCCCGCACCCTGAACCTAGATACCCCCCTGCCTGCCCCCTGAGCTACCCCCTGAGTGCACACAGCCCCAGCTACCTCCTTGCCTGCATCCAACCCCTAGCTGCCCCCTGCCCGCACCCTGAACCTAGATACCCCCCGCCTGCCCCCTGAGCTACCCCGAGTGCACACAGCCCCAGCTACCCCCTGCCCGCATCCAACCCCCTAGATACCCCCTGAGCTGCCCCCTGCCCGCACCCTGACCCTAGATAGCCCCCTGCCTGCCCCCTCCCTGCCTGCATCCAACCCCTAGCTACCCCTGCCTGCACCCTGACTCTAGATACCCCCCCACCTGCCCTCTGAGCTGCCCCCTTGCCTGCATTCAACCCCTAGCTGCCCCCTGCCCGCACCCTGAACCTAGATACCCCCCTGCCTGCCCCCTGAGCTACCCCCTGAGTGCACACAGCCCCAGCTACCTCCTTGCCTGCATCCAACCCCTAGCTGCCCCCTGCCCGCACCCTGAACCTAGATACCCCCCCGCCTGCCCTCTGAGCTGCCCCCTTGCCTGCATCCAACCCCTAGCTGCCCCCTGCCCGCACCCTGAACCTAGATACCCCCCGCCTGCCCCCTGAGCTACCCCGAGTGCACACAGCCCCAGCTACCCCCTGCCCGCATCCAACCCCTAGATACCCCCTGAGCTGCCCCCTGCCCGCACCCTGACCCTAGATAGCCCCCTGCCTGCCCCCTGAGCTGCCCCCTTGCCTGCATCCAACCCCTAGCTACCCCTGCCTGCACCCTGAACCTAGATACCCCCCCGCCTGCCCTCTGAGCTGCCCCCTTGCCTGCATCCAACCCCTAGCTGCCCCCTGCCCGCACCCTGAACCTAGATACCCCCCGCCTGCCCCCTGAGCTGCCCCCTTGCCTGCATCCAACCCCTAGATACCCCGAGTGCACACAGCCCCTAGCTGCCCCCTGCCCGCACCCTGACTCTAGATACCCCCCTGAGCTGCCCCCTTGCCTGCATCCAACCCCTAGCTACCCCTGCCTGCACCCTGACTCTAGATACCCCTCGCCTGCCCTCTGAGCTGCCCCCTTGCCTGCATTCAACCCCTAGCTGCCCCCTGCCCGCACCCTGAACCTAGATACCTCCCTGCCTGCCCCCTGAGCTACCCCGAGTGCACACAGCCCCAGCTACCCCCTTGCCTGCATCCAACCCCTAGCTGCCCCCTGCCTGCCCCCTGAGCTACCCCCTGAGTGCACACAGCCCCAGCTACCTCCTGCCCGCTTCCAACCCCTAGCTGCCCCCTGCCCGCACCCTGAACCTAGATACCCCCCCGCCTGCCCTCTGAGCTGCCCCCTGAGTGCACACAGTCCCAGCTACCCCCTTGCCTGCATCCAACCCCTAGATACCCCTGCCTGCACCCTGACTCTAGATACCCCCCGCCTGCCCTCTGAGCTGCCCCCTTGCCTGCATCCAACCCCTAGCTGCCCCCTGCCCGCACCCTGACCCTAGATACCCCCCTGCCTGCCCCCTGAGCTCCCCCTGAGTGCACACAGCCCCAGCTACCCCCTGCCCGCATCCAACCCCTAGATACCCCCTGAGCTGCCCCCTGCCCGCACCCTGACCCTAGATAGCCCCCTGCCTGCCCCCTGAGCTGCCCCCTTGCCTGCATCCAACCCCTAGATACCCCGAGTGCACACAGCCCCTAGCTGCCCCCTGCCCGCACCCTGACTCTAGATACCCCCCCTGCCTGCCCCCTGAGCTGCCCCCTTGCCTGCATCCAACCCCTAGCTACCCCTGCCTGCACCCTGACTCTAGATACCCCCCCGCCTGCCCTCTGAGCTGCCCCCTTGCCTGCATTCAACCCCTAGCTGCCCCCTGCCCGCACCCTGAACCTAGATACCCCCCCGCCTGCCCTCTGAGCTGC